ATGCCGATGACCAATAAGCCTGATCTTGGAGGTTGATCCGATGGGTCTCCATTAACTGAGCCACGACCGGTTGTAGATCTGGAAGTAGATCGGAACCATGTACATGCCAGCGTCGAGCAGGTTTGCGAAGTTGCGTGGTGTAACGTTGATGCAATAGGTCGACATCACCGAAAAACTGATCCTTCATTGAGGCGGCCATGATCTCCACGTTAATGTCCGCATTGATGCGAGAAAAGTCATCCACCATTACTGCGTGACCATGTGCACGGAGTAGATGGTGGTCATCGATGTCTAAACAGCGACACGGAAAGGATGTGTCAGGCGTCCATTTACGCTGCCATGTGCGATAGTTGTATATCTTGTCGCCCAATGTGGCGCTGCGGGTTTCCACAACCCGGATCTTTGGAATGAAAAGAGAAGGGAACAGATCCCGATGGGAAGCAATCCAGTTTTGTAACCATGTGCCAAGTAGCGCTTTCCAATTTTGGACATGCAGCGGCGGCAAAAGTAGCTGTGTCAGAGTGGAGGGTGGTTGCAGCCGTCGTTTGCGCAGTACCTGGGCGAGTAGCTTCTGGGCCTTGGAGCGGAAGGGTTCGTTGACAAATACTGCGAGCCGCAATAAGTAGTACAGCTGAGTGGGAGGGAAAGCGGCTGACAGTAGGTCACGCATGACTTGGAACGACGCTCCTGTATTCGATCCCAGCTGATAGAGGATCGAGTAGTGGGCTTGAATGTCATCCAGGGTGTCAGGTCGTAGTTGCCGTTGGAGATCCGGATGTAGTCGTCGTCGAAAGCGCTTGTGCAAGCCGATGGAAGTGGGCGTCGACAACGAGTGGCGTCGAAAATCTACAAGATGTTCCCGGAAGCCAACCTTGCGCAAGATTCTGTGTACCCAGGGCGCATTCAAATGCGGGCGTAGCAGGTATTGCCATTTGCTTTCTTGAACCCACACCGAGGAAACTGGAAGTCTGATTTCCACTGGTACAGCACAGAAGAGCCAGTAAGTATTGGATCGTTTCCAGTAGTGAAGCGCCGGTTCAAAGAAGGCATGCCGTCCACGAAGTAGTTGTAGAAATTTGCGACTGCGTGAGTGTTCACGACGTAGAACATCCTGATCAGTCGCCCCAACATAGTATGGTGTGTGCCATGGGGAAAGTCGAATGTAGACGCACGGTTGTTGGTGATGACCTGGATCATGTATGAAGTCGTAGAGGTCAGGAAATCGCGCCCGCAATGAGCGTAGATGTCGCGAGTCAGCGAAAGTCGAGTGCATGATTTCACACAAGAGAGAAGTCTTGTAGAAGTGAAGGACTTCGAAGAACGGCGGGAGGTAGCCGTGATCCTGTGAAATGAGACGTTGTAAGAAACTGATCAATAAATAGGCAGCGCACCGACATCTGTGAAGTTCATACCTGTTGGCCACGGTGTGCTGAGAGTTGGACATGGCGCAATTCGGAATCTGGAGGGCTATCCGGACCACAACTAAGACCTCGAGGATGAGACCCAGCCACGGCAATTGTGTGATGGATTCGTACTCCTCAAGTGGAATCGACGGTGGTGGTAGTCCAGGGAAACAGTAATGCCAGCACGTCGAGAATGTAGTCAACGAGTGCAGAAGGTCGTCCAGCGACTGCCATTGTGCAACATCATCATAGATTCCGCAGTGGCGAAGTTCATCCAACATGGTGAGATGCAACCAACGAAATCTACCACAAGGCGGCGACATAAATACAAGCATCTCAGACAATCACACAAGAGGCAACGCAAGAACAAGCAAGTACAAGATCAATCATGTGCAACGCAAACACTTGACGGACGAATTTTCACCTGGACTCATCCGTGACATTGTTGCCGCTCCGGGCTCATATGAGATCGAAGGTCGAAATGATGCCTTCTCATCCACAAAGCAGGCGAGCGGTCACGATGAGGTGACTCAATGCCTTCTCGGTGAGTTTGGTAAGGTACCCGGGTTCAAGACCCCATAATGCTGCCATTGCACCGAGTGTGGGCGCATCGCCCTTCGGCATGCGCTGCCTGGCCTGAAGAAGCTGCGTCGCCATAGAATCTAATGACTTGTTGCCGTTGAGCCGGGACGGGTGATTGGCCCACTTAACCAGCGACGCCAAAGTGGTTGTTGTGGGTGCTTGCTTGAGGAAAAGGCGAGGTTGGTCACTGGTCCATGTGTAGTACTTGACAACTTCATCCGGCGTGCTGTGCATGGTGAGCAACTGTGACGCCGCCGGTTTGGACGGCGGTGACGACACTCCGTGAAGAGACTGCATGATCCGTGGTTGCACCACGCTATCAAACGACTTGCCATCCAGGGCGGCCGCGCTGGCTGTGGGAAGGGAGCTGGCAGGTGACGAGGATGGTGTGTGGTTGACCGGTGGCGGTGTAACCAACTCTGCATCATCTTTCTGATTTGTCATCGTGGGCGAGGTCGATGCGCGAAGTGATGCGGAATACTGAGCTTGGAGAAGTTCATGCGCACGATTCAAATCATTGAACTTCTTGACCATGTCATCATTCTGGGCAGCAGGTGCGAGAGAGGTGTGATGTTGTTGAAGAAATTGAAGTACCAGGTTGGCCAAATGGTCGTGGACCTTGATGCGCTGATTGAAGTCATCAATGTTGAGACCCAACGTGTTGGCAAGGTCCTTTTCCAGGGTGAGCAGGTTGAGTGACTGCGATCTTCGTAGTAATTTGGAGCATGTACTCCAAAGTAAGGCCTCAGTGCGAGTGCGAAAGCCTTCCCACGTCACGAATCGGCCGTGTGCAAACGGCCTGAGTAGCCAGTTGGTGAGGCCCCCGTGGATAACCTGAACCAGGCGTACGTCCCTAATATCCATGCCTGACATGTCGCGAAGGTTGCCATGTGGAGTGTTGGCAACAGTCATGGGCAGGCTAAAGTTGTAGAGTTGGTTGACATCAAACATGCCGTCTGCAGGTGTCCAGTCAGGCGAGGGAGTAAGCCAGGCTTTCTGAGGACGAACCGGTAGAGCTGTAGGAGGTCCAGGTGAAGGTGTAGGTGTAGGTTGGGAGGTAGTGACCGGTGGTGGCATCATTGGTGGCATGAACTTGGATGGCGTGGGTTCAGGAGGGATCGGCATCATGTAGTTGATCGCCGGGTATTGGAATTGCTGTGTGGGGTTGTGAGTCGATTGAAAGTTGGTAGGCACCATCGGAAAGTTGTTGGCAGCGTTGTAGCCGGAGTTGTGTTGCCATGAAACCAAGTTGTTCCAATCCATGTTCTCCGAGACCTGGTTGTCATTGTGTTCGCGTCGGTGTGCTTTACGAGCTTGAGGGGAAGGACTCCGATCACGTCTGCGTCGAGTCCTGGATCTGTCACGATCATCACGTCGAGACATGGTGACGCAACTAAATCGGAATTTGCACACTTCCACCTTGAGAGAAACGAATCCGACAAAATGCAAGTCAATGCAAGTTCAAGTCAGCGGCGATCAGTAGCAAGTCAATGCAAGTTCAAGTCAGCGGCCATCAGCAGCAATGGTGATAGAAACGAATCCGACAAAATGCAATGCAAGTTCAAGTCAGCAGCCATCAGCAGCTATGGTAAGAGCAACGAATCCAACAAAATGCAAGCCAATGCGATTCAAGTCAGCAGCCTTCAGCAGCTATGGTGAGACGTCGCTATGATCTGACAGCTGTCTTCCCTTTAGTGAAACCTCGTTCCTGGTTAAATGTGAAATTCCGCTGTTCTATGATACGCACGTTGAGGTCAAATTTTCCGACAGAGCCGGCCCGGGGTCACACAATGGGTACACCCGAGGATTCCCCACGAATGGGGTGTACACACTTGAACTCCAGATGGAGAGTGCTAATCTTTCGAGTACAACTGATGAGTCTCGAGTACAACCGACAAGTCTCGAGTACGATGAGTTTCGGCTCGCAATGCACTTGGCTTCCCTGTAGGTACTTTAACAGGGAAACACAAAACAACGGCGGTTCAGGGAGGGGACCAAAAGGACTTTCAGCAACATCACGACGCAGGTACAGGTGTCCACGTCTGGACACCCTTCCCACCTTTGGCAATAGCTTCATTGCGTGCAGTATGCCAAAGGTGCTGCACGCCCCTGCTGCGAAATAGAAAGGGTGGTGACAGGGCATTCTGTCACTCCGCACACACACACACACACACACACACACACACACACACACACACACACACACACACACACACACACACACACACACACACACACACACACACACACACACACACACACACGCACGCACGCACGCACGCACGCACGCACGCACGCACGCACGCACGCACGCACGCACGCACGCACGCACGCACGCACGCACGCACGCACGCACGCACGCACGCACGCACGCACGCACGCACGCACGCACGCACGCACGCACGCACGCACGCACGCACGCACGCACGCACGCACGCACGCACGCACGCACGCACGCACGCACGCACGCACGCACGCACGCACGCACGCACGCACGCACGCACGCACACACACACACACACAATGTCATCCAAGGTAATGTGGAGCTGGCTTAGGGTTGATCCAGGCTGGATGTGAGGCAGGTTTAAGCTGATCTAGGCGAGTGGCGTAGGGCTAGTTTTGGTTTGGCTTAGGGACTTCTGGTGGGCTCAGTGGTGGTTTTAGGATTCTGCCGGGTAGGTTTCGGGGTTGGCTTGCTAATCTGAACGCTTAGCGAAATCTCCTGAACCTTCGACAAGAGTTGAACAGATGTCAGGGCTGATTTTCAAGACTAGCAACCAAGAGGTGACCTTAAAACCAGTGCTTCACATAAGATTCTGATGAAATCCAATCAGCTTAAAACTAAGACCATTCCAAAATGTAAAAAACAAAACAACTAATAATAATTAATAACAACAAATAATAATAATAATAAAACAACACGGAATGTGACGTGAACACCAATGCCATAGATGGACACACCTAAGACCTCCCCCAAGTTTCCCCCAAACCCGGCGATGAAGATCGACGAGCTGCGCCATAAGGTTTGCACCTGAGCAATCAGGTCGATGGTTGCGGACTAGCTCGACCGTGACCGCGGGGGCTCCCATGATGAAGCCATACGCTTGATTTATCAAAAGGTTACGCTCACATCAGGTTAGGGCTAGGTCCTCCAGATTTGAGAGCTTAGAATGAGTCGGGGAGTGGTACCCGATATTTTCTCTTTTTGGTTTTGTCTATTTTAGTAGGGGAACCCTCCCAACCAAAAAAAGAGAGAGAAGGGTACTACTGGGAAACCTAGATGCTCAATGGCCGATGGAATTTGCAGGTGTGTGGCGGGTCGCGCTCAATCTGAACCAATCGCCCCCATGAGTTGTCCCTTGGCCAATCGAAAAATGTCCTGAACAAGCTGGGCACTCAGCAAACGTTTCCTGAAGCCTCTGGCCCAAGCAATTCGTACAGCTCAGCTCTGTCTTGAAAACTCACCCCGCCTCATGCAAACAGCTCGGGCATTTTGGCATGACACGCATGCTAGAATCCAAGAAATAGACGGCCTGAGAATCAACTGTAGAGTGAAGGATGCCAGCCTTTCAACGTTCTTGTTTGAGGTAACCGGATTGATGGACTCGGGGTTTGAACCCCTGGTCGTTGAAACTGGAGCTGGCCCCGAATCCAGCCAAACAGTTGACTGCTCATGAAAAACAATCCGAGACCTTGTTGAGCGGCGAGCTCACACCCAGTCTCCAAGGGAGCTTGAAACAACTGCTTGTGAATCCAAGATGGCTTTCACTACTCCAAGTCTTGCCAAAGAAAAACTGGACTCTATAACCTCAATGCAGTGGATACATAGTTGCCCTATAGCCTCTTCCCGTGGTCTCGGCAATCGTTGACAAACTCGTGGCTTTTGAAAGCTTAAACCGCCCGGCCTGGCCCGCCCTATCTGGGAAGGTGGGTGCCCATTCCATCATGACTTCAAAAGGGACATCTGTAGATAGGGCCTCCCGTATTGCAGGCATACAGTACACGAGCTGATTTTTGAGGTCACTTGTCATTTGAGTGTGTCTTTTCTTAGAGGGAACCCCAAAAACTCTTTGGTTACCCTTGAAAACCTACCAACCCTTGGGGTACCGAGCCTCAAAAAAAGCGACCGACTCATTTTTGCCCAGGCGCGATCTTGTACCTGCGCCTCGAGTTGCGACAAGCGCTCAAGCAGCTCTGGAGCCTTCGAGGACAAGGCTGCATGGCTGCACATCAACAGGAGCCCATGGCTCAGTCCATGGGCGGGGATGCCGACAAAAATGCGAAAAACAATTCTCGAGCGCTGGAAACAACACTGTGACCTGGGCGATCCGAGCCCCATGTTGCATCACCGATCAAACAGAGCCGCTGCGCGGAGTGTGTCTGTAATCCGCTGGGCCCGGCCTTGGCATTGCACGCGTCCCGAGGGGAGTCGAACCTCAGCGCTGAACGACTCGAGCCTTTGGGGCCGAGCCTTTGGATTTTCTGCTCGCGCGCAGAAAAAACGGCAAGACATGCAAGTCGATCTAACCCGCCCAAGGCAAAACATGCCCTTGCAAAGGGACTAAAAGCTGCCAGATTCAGATCAATCAAGGAAACATATTGAGCGTGCATCGTCGCGAATCGGTTCCAGCAAAATTTGCCTGGGCAAGCCCAAACGACAATGACAAACCGACAAACATTCCTCATCATGCTTGCGCATGCTGCCAACGAGCGGTGGGGCTGTGCGCTGGAGGGAAACATGGAATTTGCGGGCGTGGCGCAAGCAAGCGTCATTGACATTCAAGCAACAGGAACGTCATCACACATGTTGACAAAGCCCGACCAGCAAATCACAAAAAACATGAAGGAGCAAGCAGGTACTGCGAGCGGCAGACTACTACAGATCGTTGCAGACTCTGGGCATCCGGGCAAGCACAGGGACGCGTGCTGCTCCTAACTCTTCTCTCGCAGAGAGGAATGGTGCTCAGTCCAATGGACATCGATCTACCCCGAAGACTGGCGATGAAAACGCACGGCTGATTACTTGACTTTGGGTGGAAACACCGACCTCTAAAACGGCTTCTAAAATCCGAGGTTTGACATAACTTGCAACGAAAAGGATTGAATGGAAGATGAGCATCAGGGCACGTGGCCTCCGAGCCCCTATGGAAATGTGGGACTTGCCGGTATTCCCATGTCAAGCCGCAGGCAACCCATGAACGCAACCCTGAAGCTCCTGGACGTTTGGCGGCGGCTTCGCCGGAGGCACAGCCGCCGGAGCCGCTGGAGCTGGGGCGGCGGCCGCTGTTTGCCAGGCTTGTCGGGCGGCCTCCACCGCCTCGACGTTCGAATTCGGCGCTTCTGGCGCTGGTGGCGCTTGTGGCTCACTCGCTTTTGTTGGCTCGGGCCGTGGCCTGGCCTGAGCGTGCACTTGGGGCTGCTGCGTCGGCTGGCAATGCTCTTGCGGTTGTTGGTGTGCTTCGGGTTGTGCTTGGGGTTGTTGTTCTTGGTGCTGCAATTGTTGTTGGTGTTGCTCTTGCGATTCCAGCAGTCGCTGCTGCTGCTGTTGCCGCTGCTGTTGCTCTTGCAACTCCAGCAGTCGTTGCTGCTGCTGCTGCTGCTGCTGCTGCTGCTGCAATGGCTGCTGTTGCAGTTGTTGCTGTGATTGTTGAGGAGAGGACTGGGAGTATCCCTGCAGCTTCTGCGATGGCTGACTGGGCTGTCTGGCCGGCTGCGAGCTTCTCGCGCCGCCTTCACAAGGTGCCAAAAACAAACCTGTGATTGGCCTTGTCGCCTGGCAATCCCAATAAAGAATTGTTTACCCGTCTTGTACCTCCATTGCTCCTTGGGGTCTACCCTTGAGGCACACGTATTGTTCTGAATGTGGTGGGGGGCTTCGAAATGCAAAAGCAGCCACACACATGTCTGCTTGTCACCCCCCGTTGGTTGGTGTTTCAGGCAACCCTAAAAAGTATGCTGATTTGGAGGGCGCTTTGGTAAATCGGTTGGTTTATTTTTGATGGGCGTCTTGCGGAGTGCCCTGAGCTTTTGGGGGGTCCGCGCCTGCGTCTGGCGCATGCAGCACTTCTCGGCTCCTTGGCTTAGCGTTTCTTGGCGGGCAAAGGGAACCATTTTTGGGTGGCTTGAAGAGAACCAAAGGAAGACCAATGATCTTTGGGGTTGAAGTGTTGCGGTGGACCTTTTGTGCAACCCAAAATGACGCTCTGATGCAACAAGCAATCGCAACTGGGTGCTGGGATTTGCGATTGAACAGTTTGAGGAGGAAGTGCCCAGCAATGGAAAGGGACATCGGAATCCGTGGGCATGTCCTAACAGAGACAATCATTGCCCTTCGGCCTGGAATAGCCGTTGTTTCACTGTTCACGCATGTCCCATCCACCAAACCCAAAGGGTCTTGGCTGGGGCCACTTTTTTACATGCGCCCTTACGTCCCTAGCCTTTCAATAATGGGGAAGGCCCAAGCTAGGCCCAAGCTCACATCTCTGCAGGTAGACAATCACTTCAGAACGCTAAAAAAAATCACTTGTGAACGCTGCCACTTTCGATCACTTCCGAGCACTAAAACAAAATCACTTCAAAACACTGAGCACCCGGAACGCCGAAAGGGTTGCAAAACCCGGCCAGTCAAAAAGATCACTTCCGAACGCAGGCGTCCCAGCCCAGGATCACTTCCGTACGCAGGCAGGCGTCCCAGCCCAGGTGTGCAAAATCTAGTGGTTCTGGGGGGAGTGGGGGGGGGGGCATGATAAGCACACCCGCTGAAGCTCTATACCCAAATGTGTCAAATTAATCTGGTTCTGGGCCGGTGTCTCGGTGCTGCGCGTGGCACGTGGCTCCACTTCCAGCGTTCCGAAGCGATTAGTACGTTTTCCGGCGTTCCGAAGCGATTTTGTTTCAGCGTTCTGAAGCGATGGTTTTGCCAGCGTTCAGGAGCGACGCACTCACCTCTCTGCACCCTGCAGCTTGGGGGTTCTTGGAAAGACAAGAACACGCCCCCGGACCCCCGCCCAAGAATAGATCTTCACGGTGTTTTGGGCACACTGGCAACCAACTTGGGTGTCAGCCCCTCTTCCGAGAAGCCGCAGCTGGCGCAGTGCCTGCAGGCGATGCCTCAGAGTTAAGGGCTCAATTTGACAAAGCCGTACTTGGCGTCTTTGTTGACCTAGCAACCTGACAACGTTGGTTGGCCGCCTGCTGTGAAAGACATGGTATTTGATACACAACCATAAATTCCCATGGAAAAAGAAGCCTTATGTAGATAAGTAGGGGACCAAACAAAATGCAAAGGTTGCCTTTGGCAACAGTACAAGCGATGACCTGAAGGGGCTGCCTACTCTTCAAACAACCCCAAATGCCTGTGGTTGGGTGTGTCTTTTTTTGAGATCCTGTTTGGGAAGACGCGGTAACTTTGCCGCTATAACACTGCCAGCCCGGCGGGAAACAGCTCTAAAGCATGCAGCAAAGTCTCAAAAGAGGCCCATCCTCTAATTGGTGGTTTGGATTGGCGGTTTGGTTAAGCAGGGGCTTCCCATGTAGCTTCCGCAAGAACCAGGGGTTCTCAATCCCAAACTACCCATCCAAACCACCAACTCAAGGGAGGCCGACTACTGTCCGAAGGCAGGGCAGTGGGCAGATCTGGCCATGGAGGCAGTGGGCAGATCTGGCCATGGAGGCAGTGGGCAGATCTGGCCATGGAGGCAGTGGGCCTGTTTGAACAGGTTCCAACTGATGGTCAAACATTCGAGTGGTTTCAACATGTTTGAAGTATTGGTCAAACATTTGGTTTCTCCAATTTCCCTAAGAGAGTGGTTGTTGACAAAAGCTCTGCCCTGCCTGAGGTCTAAAGCTGGCTGAACTCGCCCGAAACTAGGGGCCCGGCTGCTCCCAGAGAGGCGGGCGCTCCTGCCGGCGATTTGTTTTATGCCTGACTTGTGAGCCACTTCAAGCGCGAGCTTTAAGGCACCGGCAAAAGCGGATCTCAAAGAAGTGGAGACATGGGAGAATGGCTTTGCCACACATGTGATCCCAGCCAGGCTGCAGATTGCCCCTACCTCTAACTTGCCAGCGACACACACACACACCCATTGGATTTCGCGAGAAACATGATCTTCAGTTCTTCACCGTCCAATCATAAAAAATGCCGCCAGCAATTGGAACACCGCAACAAACAAGCTCTAAAGGCTCCATGCGTTTGGAAGTTGAAATTTAATCTTACTCAACCACATGTCTGCAAGAGGCCATTGTGTGCCACACAGGTACGTGGGTGGTTTGAGGACGGCGTGCAAACCCTTAGGTCTAAGATGGGTTCCACTACCCCCAAATTACTGCCCCCAAGGCTAAATTGGGGTATACCCTTTATATAGTGGCTAATAGTGGCTGTGTATCCCATTAAGCCCCTGGTGGTGGTGGTTTGGGGGTAGTGGAACCCATCTTAAATTGGAGCTGCGAAAGGATTGGAAGAGCACGCGTCTCTGGCGCTTCCCACCTGCGCCGGCGCCGGGGCCGTGCTCCTGTGACTGGAAGGCACTCCGCTGCTGCGCTTTTGTTGGCGCCGCACCATCTACCAAAATTGCACCTTGGTAACTGGAACCAAGACTAAAACCTGCGTAACCCCAGCTCTTTAGTTTTGAGCCACACCCAAGTGAGCAGACTACCTTTACCTACCACTGGGCTAGCCTTAGAGTAGCGAGACACGTTTGGGTCAAACAAATCTCCATACAGAGGGAGTTCCTTTTAAACGCGTAAAAATGACAAAGTAGCCATAAAAATGGTTCCAACTGGAATGGTGCATGAACGAAATCCTGCACCACTTTGAAAACCATGGTTGAACCCAAGGTTTGTTGGTATTTTTTTGGGGAAATCAAAAATCCATCCCTTGGGACCCCTGGGCTTTCTTGGCAATGCTACATGCGCATAGGGAAGTTGGGCGTGCATAAGTGTTGCTCCAACGTGTCAAATGAGCGCAAAGGAGCCTATGTTGGGGGCATCTAACATTGGGGATTCTCTTTTGGATAATTGTAAAGGGGCAAACCAGTGCCATTTGTAGAGTTCCCGTCCGTTTCTGACACAGGCACGTACCTAGGAGATAAAGCGAATATCCTTGACAACCCCTGATATCTGGCCATTTTGGGTTGCACCGACGGCAGAGTTGGCACAAAAGTCTAATTTCCTGCTGTGGGTGCTGACTGCAGCCTCAGTTGGCACATGCAACGTATTCTATGTGCTACAAACTTCTAGGTGACCGCCAAACGATTCACCACGTGCACCTCTGGTGTATCTCTAGTATGTCCCTGAACAAATGGTTGCGCCTTATGTTCCGATTGTGTGAGCCTCTGCCGCAAAATAAAGCGACACTTCCAAGGAAATCCACCCTTTGCAGAGGGCACCCTTGACACAAAGAATTGGGAGGGGAATGCAGCCAAAGGCACCACGCCCTTGCTACTCCAGGCAACGCTTTGCTTTGTCGCAGCTGCATTTGATGGTTGGCAACATGTGTTCTGGCTGCGGTAAGATATAGATAATATCTGGCCAGGGTTTCAAGGGATAAATTGGCAGCCACAAAGATCAAGACATCGGGTTTTGCGCCTCCTCCCACATATGTCAGAATGATCCAAACAGAGCCCAACGCCGAGCAAAGCGACTTACCAAGTTGCAAGGCAGAAAAAACAAAGGCCGCCTCACCATTCAAGCACCGTGCCGAATTGAAGAATCAAACATTGCACCAAGCATTGCAGCTCCATGTTCATTGCCAGAAAGCTGGCAGATCGTGAGTCTCATTTTGCATGTTCCCTGCCCGAAAGCTGGCACAAAGTCTTTGGGTTGCATCTTTACCAAAATTGTCCTCCCAACTCTCTGGTGATTTGAACACCTGGTTGGTAAGTGGGTTTACATGTCTCCTGTGCTCATCCCTCAATTCCACACAGCAAGCCCAGACCCCCCGGCGAAGGCAAGGTGGATTTTTCGGTCCGCATGGCGTTTCTCGGTGCACCCTGCCACTCCCAAGGCTTTGCCCACTGGCCTTGGCGAGGCTCCGCGTGGCGAGATCGGGGAGCCCGGCCACATGCCTCACATGCCGGCGCGCTGGGATTGGGCCTGCTGGGTGTAGACCCCAGCCGCACCATTTCTCAATGCAACAGGCCATAAGGGATCCACATGTGTGGTGAACGTCGCTTCCTGAAAACAAATTGCCTCCACCGAACGAATCCGAAGTGATGGTTTTTCCTGGATCTGCAAAAAGTGAATTCAAATATGACAGGGGCCAACTGGGGAAGTGAGAGGAAACATGGTCAACAAATCTAATAGTTGCCAAGCCCCGATCCGAATATGTGCTCCTAATTTCGGTAGGGTCCGGTGTGGGGACACGTATCTAGGGATTCCATCATGTACACATGACGAGTGACACTGCTTTCACGTTGGCGGTCCCCCAGCAACCCTTCAGGAAACCCCCAACAGCAGCGCATGGCAATTGGACAACAAGGGCACGCCTTTCGAATTGAGAATTGAGGTCGATGCATCGCAAAGCAGATCATTGGAAGCCGTTCTTTAGAGGAAAGCCGACAACGTTCGACCCGTTCTCAAGGGCTGTCAACATGCTTACTTAGATCAGCTGGTTGAATCGCCCCATCAAGGGCTCACGTGAAGAGAGGCGGTAACCCTGAGGTTTACTCCGGGATCATACCCCAACTTACTGCAAAACCATCTCCCATGTGACCAATGTGGCCATGATTTACCTGGTTTTTCATGGGTATACAGTTTGCTGCCGTTGGGGCACACCCTCGGGCGTGAGTTACAACTGTGGAAAGCAATCTTTAAGGCTCATGACTCACTGCTCAAGGTGATATTCACGCCTCCTCTTCAGTCAGGTCGAATCCTTTCGACGCCCCCCCTGCGGCCCCAACAAGCATTAGCATCGCTTTTTGCAGTTGCCCAACTCCTGAGCAGATTGATCAGAAAAAGTCACATATTGTTTACCACTACTCTGATCTTTTGAAAAACAAACACGCCTGGCAACTGGGCCTCAAGGAAAGAGGCATCACACGCCTGTAGCTTCGCTTTGACCGGGGAAACCCCAATTTCCCCCACGCGCCTGGCGCCAAAGACGGAGCCGCGCTCGGCTGCGACAAAAGTGTTCGGCCGGGGCTGTAGAGGGCCAGCGCAGACGTCTGGGCACGAGACAAAACTGAAACTCGGAGCCTTGAAACAGCCAACCCGATTCAGACCCAAAGAAAGAAGCCCGAAAGGTTGTTTTTGAAAGAAGCCCAAAGAGATGCAATTGCCTTAGTTCTGGGTTGGTGTCGGAAAGCCATGGTCTCAAGTAAGTGATGTTGGACATCTGAACAAGGTGCAGAGGCAAGCATGTCATCAAAGCCTGGCATGTCGCAGTTGTGGGGTTCATTTAAATGAATCTGCCCGAAAGCCATGGCAAAGAACACAAATGGCAATTCTTGCTGCGCCTGTTCATGGCAAGGGGACATGCACACACTCTTGAGAGTCTTAGGTCCGCAAATATGGGAAGTGTAAATCTGTGCAATGGTGGCTTCCAAGAACGTTCAACAACATAAGGCGGTGCAATGAAGCAGCTGTTGCACATAACTTGTTACATGAATACCAACAACAGTATATGGTATATCCCCGGGCTCTTTTGCCGCATCCCCAGCAGGCAGCAATGGCCATTTTGCAGGGCGAAACCATTTCTGTTGTCAAATTCGGGCACCATCCCGGCCAAAAAAATCATGGAAGTACACAGGGCCTTCCTTCCTCAAGGGGCGTGTGCACCAAGCCGTGCTCGGTGAGAGGGTCCAAGAAACACGCGTCGTTGCCCCTGCAGTCCTGCAGCTCCCGGCTGGACCTGCTGAGGAAGTCCGGAACTCTGGGTGTCGCCTGTGCCAGACAAAAACGGCAGGCAAGGCAACGTGAACACACAAGCCCATAGCCCGAATTGACAGCGTTGGCCGCCTTTGTTGAGCCCAAAACGCCCAGGTCATGCATGGTATCACCCGAGCCTCTCTGGGCGACAATATTGGCTGGTGCAGCTGCGTCCTGCGCAGCTCCCGTCAAGGCGTTTGTGAGGCAGGCCAGGGATGGGCCAATCTTGTTTTGAACAACCCTGGGTCAGGTGATTAAACTTGTGTGTACGAACCCTTCGACTGGGTAAGGGAGCTTGAAGTGCTGCAAATGGATCCGCACAAGTAGAACCATGTCTTGCGGCGCCGGGCTTTGGCCCGGTGCCAGAAGCTGACCTGGAGTGGCCGTCAAGGGTAGTGTCACTTTTATGACCCCGCGAAATCCTGAAAGCCAGAAACCAAAGAACAGGGTTACTCACAACAAGTGGAGCCAGGGGGAAAGTCATCAACCCATGAGCAGAGCAGGGGCTTTTCCCCACTCTCAGTTCCTTAGCCTGAAGCCTTGAACCAACCGAGAGCCTGATGCCAAAGGCCCCAGCCTCGCTTGTGCAGGTTCCCTCAAAAGATTGACTTTGGACATCATTTGGTCCATTGGATTGAAGGGGAACCACAGATTTGCTTGAAGGGAAGCAACCACCTGTCTTTATAGAACATATAATATATATATATATACCTGGGCTATCCTCAGATCCCCCGCTAAAAGTTTAACCTTTAGTGGGTTAAATGGAATCCCCCCTAAACACCAATAGGCTAAAAGGCTAAGGGATGGCTGGAAGCCACCAAGATACGTATGCTGCTTGTGTTGTTTTTTGGGGGAGGGCTGGGGTATGAATATTCAGGCAGCTCAAACCCCTCGGTTCCATCCTCGCGGCGGAAGACAGCGGGGCCACCCGCGGGCTGGGGCACCTCGAATGACGGAAAAACAAAAACCGCGCGGCCGCGCTTGCCACCGCACCTGGTTGATCAAGAAAAGGGCTCAGAAACATGGGGATGGCCAGGGAAGCCATATTTTTCCCTACATGGGAACAGTTCAGTTTGGGCATCTGGGGCCAGGAAGATTGATCAACCCCCAGGTGCAACTGGTGAAAGAAAAGGCCAAACTGTTGAAAGTCTACAGAAACCGGGGCCATTCAATTCTGGTATGATCCCATGTTATTCCCCCCTCCACGTGCTATGTAGGAAGAGAAAGAAAGAAAGAAAGAAAGAAAGAAAGAAAGAAAGAAAGAAAAACAACATATAGAAAGAAATAACAAAACAAAACAAAAACGTTTGAGGTTGATGAGTCAACGGCCAGGGTGGCCTCTGAAGTGGCCTTGACTTTTCGGGCTCTCCCGGGCTGAATGCCAAGCTGCCATGCCGCCATACTGCCCGAGCTCAGCCTGGGGCTCGACTTCACTGCCACACGTTGCTCCCATCTGACCCATCAGCAACCCTGAAGGGAAACCAAAGGAAAGCGCTCACGGTTTCCACCCGTTGCAACGGAAGTGGTACTTTCGGAGCTCAAAACGAAAAAGGTCTTAAGCCTAGACAGGGCACCCAAACCGGGTGTGGTTGTGGACCCCAACTCTCCCGGCTGCGCCCCGAAAAACCCAGCCTCGCGTCAGCCATGGACCCCAGGGAGCCCAGGGACCCCATGGGCGCTGCAGGCGCTTGGCAGGGCATCGCCTGCCAGCTTCCGGGTCGAGCCTTGGATTTCTCGTGTTGCTTCTTTGCTGCCTTTTAAGGGTCGAGATTTTACTTGGGAACTGGCTTTGTCCTTTAAGGAAACCTCTTCAAAAAAAAGGGCTCTTGCACTCCCGGATCTTTACTGTCAACCATGCAACAAGTGGGTTTTGTGTTGGATGGTTTTGAATGGTTTTGACATGGCACTAAAGGAAAGCGCGCAGATACATCCCCCCAACAACAAATAGATAGAACCAAAAACAAGAGAATTGCAAACACATATCTGAGTGATCCTGAGTGGGATAACCACCTCAATGAGCCACACTTCAACACCGTTTCAGAGGTGAACAGTGGAAAGTCCCCACGATCATCCTAAGCTCAGCTACGGGGTATATGCCCCCATTTGCCCTGGGTCCCAGTTGTGAAACCGCCAAACGGCATGAGCAAACCATTTCAAGTGATCACCTGGCCCATGGCCAACAGAAAAACCTCACTCATCAGACCAAGCACGATGAATCCACCCCTGACTTGCACCGCCCTTTTCAGTGCTCTGGGAAACAAGGGGCACAATAGAGGGCACACCACTGGGTGTATCTTTTTTTGAGGCAACCCCCCTTTTGGTTGAAGGGAGATCCAAATTGGACAAACGAACAAGCGGGGATACGGAGGGAGCGGGGATACGGGAGGATTCCCTTGGCGCCATTTCCCATATCAAGCTTAGCGTGCATCAAACGGGGGAGTCCTCGCGTATCCCTGGTTCTACCTGTACTGCTAGTTGGTTTCCCTGACCAAAAGAAAACCAAACAAACAAATTGGAGGGCTCCCCAAACCCGCCGACCGCGCCTGGGCCTGCGCCACTCGGCGATGCGCTTGGGGCGGAGAGCGGTCGAAATCTGAGCGGCCGAAATCTGAGTCGCCAAACTGAACGGAAGGAACCCAAGAAGACGCATCCCCCAAGAGGAGTTCCCTCTGCAAATGGAGTTTTCCGGGTTCCTTCCGTTACTTTGTAGGGGAGCAACAAATCAAGGTGATTTCTTTCCGAGTCATCAAGCATCTAGAACTGAAACCCCTGAGATGGTACTCCTATCAGTCCTTACGGTAAGGACACCACTCAAACGGGGCAGTGGAAATGGCAGTAGCCATCCATGTGCATGCACGTAAGGCTGGGGGGGACATCCTCTTTGCCTTTGAACGGAACCGAATCCAGCTGATGCTTTGTTGGGTTCCTCATAGTTTGCACATACTCATGTGCGAATCGCAAGGCTTTATTGCTGACTTCCACAGATTTTGCTACCTGAGTGAGCAGCGATTCACTTTCAGTCCTACCAGAATGGCATGAAAAGCTGGTGCAAAAGCCGCTGCTCAACTAGGGAGCAAAACCTTGACGAAAAACCGGCCTCCTGTTTATGTTGCGGGGCCCCTCCTTGGCTTCCTTATGTGACCGATGCCATGCTTCTGGGCTAAACTGTAGGCAAGCAGCAATTGATGCCATCTGCACTCCTTCGTGTTGGCATAGAAACCATTCTCTCCTTGGAGCGTTGTCTTTCATGCCAAAGCCATGATGTTTGAGCCCATCGGGGCGCCTTGCCCCCAGCGAGCAACAAAGAAACCGCTTTTTCTGGACACGCCTGCACTTCCACACCTGACAATATTGCCACGCACCACCGTTTTTCCAGGGACCCTTTTTTCAAAGAGGGAACCAACGGGAATCACATGAATTGAAGTGGAAGCCACAAGACGAGCGCGATTGGGTGTCCATGCGTGGCTCAGCAGTTTGGTGCAGTTTTCATCTTTGGCCAAGGGGCCACCTTCGGCGACGGCTGCGCCTTGGCCCCATGCTTTGAATGTTGACCCAAGTTGAGCCCTCGGGTGAACCGGTCAACAGGTCTAAGGCGAAGAGGTTAAAGGTGAAAATAGGTCCAAAGCGAGATGCCCCTCTTTCCAATGGATGTGGACACGGATCCCTGCCCAAAATTCAAGTACTCCAAAACTTTGCCATCAGCTTCTCTGACTCTTGACGCCTGAGAATTGAGTTAAAAGCAAAAAGTGGCGAGTTCAGCATCCACTCCCTTATGTTCCTTTCAAAGGAGCCCAAGACCATGGAGAGGATCTACAAAGCCGGATTTTGTCGCGCTTCTTACTGGTTGGCTGCGCCTCTTGCCAAACCCTATTCGCAGAATCGGGCTTCTGAACCCAATCCAATCTGGGCCAGACTCAGATGCTGCCAAACAATTAACCTGTTGATTCGGTCGAAAAGGGAGAATAACACACCAACCAGGCAACGAGAGCAACTCAGACGCTGAGAGTCGCGCCCGGGGCTGAAATGCCATTAAGTCCCAGTGCCGCCGGTTGTGACAGCACACCCAAAATTTGTTGGGAAAGAGAACCTTGCCTACAGGCGGTGTGCCTGAGACTTGTTGGTCAAGTTCAGGAGCATCTGTCCATGCCGGAAAGTTTTTTAGGTTGCAAACTTTCTGAGTGTGCGCCCTTTGCTTCGGTCTGTGTCAACTTGTTCAACACTGGCGCAAAATCGACGCAGCATGCACGCAAGCCTGAGCCAAGCATGGCTGTGGGAATGAGCGAATCCCAATTGCGCAACGTCAGTTTGAGCCAATATCGTTCCCTGGCTGGTCCTTTTGCAAACATCTCAGCGCGAGGTCGCTCAAACAAAGCCGTGCACGAAACAAAAACACCTGCTGAAATGGGGCAGCAGACTGCGCGAGGCTTTGCCCACAATTTTTGCGGTGAACCAGCACACGGGAGTGCTATTTTTAGGGTAACCTCCGAAATGGTTGCTTCAGGTTGCTTTCCCTTTCAAGCCACAAAAAAAGGGGGCAGCCTCAACACAGCCGAGCCACCCACATTGTGGGAGGATTTGAGTGCAACTGAGGCAGCCCGACGGCCCTTTACCCACGGGCTCGCTTTTCACTCGCACATCGACACTCACAGCTCCAGGCCCAACCTGCTGACGCCAGGTGCAGCCGAGCGACACAATTTGTTGGGCAAAAGCGGCACTGAAGGAATTGAGTCACAATCAAAACTGGGTACACAAATAGATTACCCAGAACCTGTAACAATTAAGAAGGCGTCCGCACTTATGTATGGCCGGGATCGTCCCGTACTAACCATCCTCTACCGGTTTTGATTGCGGCTCATTTGGCTTCTGGATGTTCGAACATCCTTGGGGTTTTGGTGCCGGGATAGCGATTGAATCGACCGATTGCCAAGTCCCCTTGGGAAATCCCAAGGAAAGTCCAACTCCCAGGGATTGAATTCAAGGCAACCCCCGAAAGCAAGAACCCGTTGCCCAGAAAGCCGCAAACATGAAGACCGCCGACAGCGCGCGCGGCTTGGCACCCTGCCCCAGAATCCCTTACGTTTCAGCGGCCCTGAATGGACCTCCTTACAGAACATGGATATGCAAGAGGAAAACAAAGGAAACTCGATCTACATCATGTTCAAAACAAACACGGTTTGGTCATGTTTCACAGTTCAGACCAAGATCAGAAAGTTGCAACCCCCCCAGAAAAAAAGACGAAATCATTGAGGTCTCAGAAGCTTCTCCTTGGGCTTTCCGAACTCATGCCCACGGCTTGGAAGCCGCCGGGAACACTCAGCTGCTTGCAGACCCACCTTCAAGTGACAGAAGCTCAACAGTTGTAGTTTCAACCGCCCCGGAACTACCTGCCTGGAATCCTACCCAGAGCCTAGTTCTCTGGGCCAACCGAAGGCTGGTTTGTCTGACGTGTTTTTGCTTGGGCGGGTTGCTGGTGCTGGTTGCTGGGCCTGGGTGGGTTGCTGATTGGGAGAGTCTCAAAGGCAGCCGGATTGCGCTGCTGGTTGGCGGGTCCTGCTTAGCGGGCTGGGCGGGCTGGGTTGCTTGGGTGGGTTGCTGGTTGGGCTGGGCCGTCAGACATGTCAGACAGGCCTGGCCAGCAGGAGGTCGCTATTTTTTGGGGGTGAGAGGGCATTATCTTTTTTGCACCCTTTCGCGTGTCTGAGACTAGCTCACATGTCTGACACTAGCCTCGCGCGCAGCCCAGTGTCTGAGACTCGCCTCAGGCTCAGCCCAACCACCAAGCAAGGCTCAGCCCAGCCCGCCCAGGCTGCATGACTCACTCCTGGTCTTGTGCATCGCCTTGCCCTTGCCTCGCGGATTCCTGTGGGCCCCTGACAGCAATTGGTCCAACGACGCCAGAACCTGTCCATGCCTGAATCGCCACTTGACCAGCTCTGCTGCTTGCAGTCGAACCACAAACGCCGCGCTCTCGGCTGGGCCGAGGCGGGCAACGCGCAGCGTTTACAAGAACAACAAACAAAACACGCACCAATTTTGGGGGGCCCAAATCCTCAAAGAAATCCCGAGCCCCTCTTCGCGCCCTTCGGCGTCGACCCGAAAAAAATATCAACCCGAGTCCGCCAGTCCGAGGCGCGTGGCGAGGGGCTGCGCCGCCAGCTTCCGCGTCTTGGGATCCTCGAGGTCCAAGAGGTTCAACGCCGCCTTGGCCGCCTGCGCCAGCAGCCTCCTGAGGTCAAGGGAGGCTCCAGTGCTCTGGTGATGTTTTTTGGGGGGTAGGGGAACAACTCAAAAGGTGGGACAACATGGGATTTGAGAAGGGGAAGTGGCAAGGTACCCAAAACGTAGGATAACATGGGATTTTGAGAAGGGAAGTCTATGGCAAGGAAACGGAGTTGCGCCGGGAAATATTTATGGTTTTCTCTGCAAGCTGAGGGACTCTTTTCAGATGGGTCCATGCTTTGAGCCTCTGATCTGAGCGCCTCACCGGGCTCTCAGAGCCGGTAAGCGAGGCGCGTGAGAGGAGGTGAACTTTTCCCTAAGCAGAGAACAAGCAAGCAAGGCAATGTTGACCTTTGGGACTAAGCTGCAACTCATTTGCCAATTGGCTTGAAGAACTTATTGGTTCCTTTTGGGGTCACAAGATCAGAACGTCAGTGCGCACGCTGAGCCTCTGAGCAGGCATGGATCAGCTGGGCTCATTTGGGCGCTCCGTCAAGGGTAGAGGCGCTCGCTGCAAAGTAATTAATCTGGATACTCTCTCATCCAGGTTGCCATCGACCCGGTCTCCATCAAAAGGAAAATTGTCTTACAGGAATTTTCAGTGAGGTTTAATGTTAGTGAATGGGAAAGTGTTCTCTATGCAGTTTCCAAATCTGAATCTGATCCTTGCCACTCATAGATCTCAAACAACCTCTTCCTGGAAGAACGCCTGTTCCCCCTCCAACATCGCACCCCAAACAAAAGCTACAGGACTGGTCCAAGAATCACACACGGCGTTCGAGGCGCCCCGAGGTCTTCTGAGTTGGGATCGCGAGACGGATCTCGGTCCTTGACTCCTCCATAGACCTCGTGGGATGGCCCCAGAACAAGGTGCCTGATGTTGGCGCGTAGCGAACCCAAAGCTGTGAAATCCATGCAAACAAAAAGACCGGTGGCGGCCGCGGACGTTCTATGGGAGCCTTCAGTTGGCTTCCAAATGCGGCCCGTTTCCGTTCCCTCGGACTTCGCTTCAAAACCACAAGAAGGGGACTGTGCTCCAACCGCACCTGAGTTGTACCTACGGATTCAATGTTAGATCAATAGGTGCAGCACGCCCACAGGTATCCTTATCATTAAGCGGGTACGCGTTAAATCTTGGTTTAGTTTACCCCATCCTCAGAGCCCCAAACAAGTATGTTTTAGGGGAGGTTAATCAGCACCAACGGAGACCGATGTGGCCGTGGGTCAAAACCAATGGTAAAACTAATGGTAAAACTAATGGTATCATTTTGGGGTAGGTGCACCACCCATTGTAGAACCTATTGTAGTGTGGATTGGGATGTTCACTGAGGGGGTACGATTTGGATTTTGACCCATGGCCATGTGCCATAACTCTACTTTTCGGGTCTGATCCTTTCGGCGTCTGCAGAAGAAATATTTGACCTTCACGAGACCTGTGATGGGCGTCCCACTCCATGCACTCCGCTGCCCGCCGCAGCAGCTGCAGCGCACCCTTGGCGTCCTCTGCCTGCGCAAACAAAGCACCGGGCTATGGCCACAAAAGCTGGGCTGCCTTCAGATCCCCCGCTAAAGTTTAACTTTTAGTGGGTTACATGGAACCTACCACTAAACACTAAAAGGCTGAAAAGCTAAGGGGATGGCTGGGAGCCACCAAGTAAAGTTGCGAAGGCAACTCATGTTCCAAGTTGACGCCGTGACGCAAAGAGGAGCCGAAACCCGAAGCACCTGACGTGGGGGCTAAGGGTGCTGAAGCAACGCAGAAAAGGAACCGAAAACTGAGGAATCGGAGAAAAAACAGGTCATCGACTCTAGGGGCCTGTTTTGGAAGTAATGGCGCTGACAACTCCCCCCCCCAAAAAAAAAACTAGAGGCGGAGGCGCGTCTCCATTGCCCGCCTCGCAGGCCTCGGCCTCTTGCAGAAGCTGTTGGGCCTGCGCCTGGGGGTGGTTTCTCGGTGAACCCGAGAGCCACAAGGGCGGAGCCTTTCTGCCGCCCTCCTACTGTGGATGGACGAAATCCTGCACCTAAGAATCGGTCAATCCGAGCAAAGCCGCAAGGGCTTTGAGGCTGCCGCCGTCCTATTGCCTTTGTTTTTGAGAGGGGTACGCTGTGGGCCCCAGTGTTTTCCATATTAATTATATGAAATGGTTGTTGGGTGCAAAAACCCAGGGCCCAGGACGTACCCTTCTGGAGTATTTTTGCATATGCTGGAAGGACCAGGAGGTGCAATGGTGCCCTGAGAGGCCGCAACTAACAGGTTTGCATGCTACGCGCAAGGAGCCTGCGCTTCTTTGGACGGCGGAGGGTCAACCCAAAGCAAAGCCAAACCCGGGCGAAACCCAAACCAACCAACAACCAAAGCAAACCAAACAAAACACAACCAACTCAACCAACCCAACGCAACACACCGCAACGCAACCCAACCCACCAACAAGGGAATTCTGCAATAGACATTCGTAGAGCCCCTTCCATTCATGAAGCTCATCTTCTGCTACAGGCTAACGGAATTATCCCGACAAGAAAACTACAAAAAACACAAATAGCAAGCCATTATCTATGGAGAAATCTGCATTTGGGGATTGGACGCCCTTCTTGGGCCCCTTCCGTTAATTTCCAGATCAATTGGAATTGGGGCATTTTGCAAAGGACACATCAGGAAAGCAAAGGCCTGCTTTTCTGTGAGGGCTTCCAAATCACCCCCAAACAAAATGGACTATACCCGATTTCCTGTGCTCAGCCGATGGGGTGGTGGTGGAAACAATCTTAGTTGGTCCTCAGTGGTGCAATTCCAGGGACCGCCCCAAAACAAAGGCGCTGCTTTGGAAGCGGCTCTCAAGCAATGT